ATGCTGCTGCGGTGCTTTTTGATTAATGCAATGAACTTCTGGCTTAGAGCTCCACTCAGCACCATTATGAAGCAGTATAAAATTATCCCCAGCGCACACGTAATGCCTGAGTTCAGATGTGCGGGAAGAATGGAAGGTAATTAGGCAGGGGCGGAGGTGGTTTGCCAAGAGTGTTCCAGACAGAGGGAACAAGATGTGCAAAGGACCCGTATGGAGGGGCGTGGCCAGCACCGGCAGCCAGGGGACTGCAGTGTCAGTGAGCACGGAGCCTGGAGGGGACCCAGTGGGATGAGGCTGGGAAGGCAGGCCTGCCAGGCAAGAGACTCTGCCCCCAGATAGCTCCTGTCCCCAGCCTTGGAGGGGAAGAGGGTGAATGTGCCCTGACCCTGGGAGCGGGCACCTGTGGGACCTGGACATCACCACACACTGCTGCAGGTGGGATACCTGGTGCTTTCTTCCCACAGTAGCCCCCGCTGCTTTGTGAAGGACTGGCCAGGCCCAGAGAGCCCCACCCAGCCTCCATCCTGGGGAGCCCCACTGGCATTACAGGCAGGACTCAGTGAGCTTCGGGTGGTCAGCAGCGCCTCTTCAGCTGTGTGATGCTCTAACCTGGAAGCAGAGGCAGTGGCCGTGCTGTTCCAGAATTGGCATGTTGCTCAGTCCCTGCTCTGTGGTGGAGGGACCGGCCTTCCCTTCTGGGTCAGAGGCTGCCTCCACGGCCTGTGCTTATTTCCACCCTTCCTCCCGCCCCCACAGTTGCAGAGTCTTGGAGAGTTGACATCCACCTGGAAAGCGCCTGAATTTCTGTATGAAGTTAAACCTGGCCTGGCCTCCAGATGACCCCCACAGAGCCTGAGGTCTGGGAGGGCTGCAGGCTTGGGTGTGCTTCTTGGCTGCCATTCTCCCCTCCAGTGGGATGACTTCCTCTCTTTCCTCAGAGGGGAACTGTAAGAGCAAATGACATAAGTGACGGGAGCCCACTTTGTGCGGAGTGAGCATAGGTGGCCATAAAGAGAAGCGTGATGTCATCATTTGTGCATTAGAGCCAGGAATGAGGGACAGCCTTTTGGATGCAGGTGAGCCCTAGGCCCGAGCTGGTGTCAGGGTCGTCTGTCCTTCTGCTGCCAGGCCTGGTACGGCACAGCAAGGATGGGCCCTTTGTCTCCCCAGGGCCCTTCCCCCAATGCATGCTGTCACTAGGAAATGGCGCCAGTATCCCCCCTCCAGGAGGCTGTCTGGCCGGGTCTGCAGAGCCCGTCTCCATAGAATTGGGGACAGGAGGCCTTCTCCGAGTGTCAGTTATCTGAACACGTGGCATGAACAGTAAATGAGCAGAAATGTGATCCTGGTGAGTCCCCCAGGAAGTGAGCCTGTGGCTTGGCCTTTGAGCCCTGGCCAAGGTCATCTCTCTTGCTGCCACAGCTGCCCACCTGCACTGCTTCCTCTAGAGTTCCCAGGGCAGAGCTGGTCCCCTGGCAACTGCCGTGGCTGGACCCAGAAGTGATAAGTCACTCAGAGCCCTGTTATCTGCAGCTGAGGATGATGTCTCCAAGAGCACCAATGTCCAGGCCATGCTGCCTGTGACTGAGCAAATTCTATAAAATTGCTGGTGGCTCCCAGCAACACTGGGACAAAATCAATTGCTCCAGACTGACGCTGCGGCAGAGAGCCCACGGTTCACAGTGTGTGCCCTTCCGACCCAGAAAGCGCCAGGTATTGCAAGACCGACAAAGTGAGAGCCACCCTCCGTCACTGGCTGGCACACCACTAAGCTGGAGCGAGGACCCTTCCTTGGCAGGACGCATTATCCATCTGCAGCAGACGTCCTGCGCTGCTGCCATCACCTGTGGCCCTGACCCTCTTAGAGACCGTCATGAAAGCCCTGTGTGTCTCCAGAGTGCCGGAGGTACTTAGTGGGCCTCTCGGGACTGGCTCCGACTCTTCCCCTGAATTATCCGTACCTCTCACTGTGTCTTCTCGGCCTGAACGGGATGCTTCCGTAGCCTCAGGTGGTCAGAGTGCTGGAAGATCAAATCATGACGTTGACTATGTGTCATCAGGAGCCAAGAAAACAAATGGAAAGTGTCACCACCTCTTAAGCTGCGGTGACTGTTTTGCCCTTGGAAAGTCAGCAATACTGTTATCCTTCTGAGGATACAGTGTAAGAAGCCGGATGCCATTTGGGGATGCGACTTGTTTCCACGGCCCAAGTGGATCTGCCTTGTTCTGGTGAACCCTGGCGACCATCAAAGGTGCTGCACAGATGGCATCTCATGTCAGAGCCTTTCAGGACAGCGCAGAGTGTGGAAGGAGAGGAGACCGACAGTCAGTGAAATGGTTCAGGGCAGGACCTCATCCTCCGCCGGTCAGGGCTCCAGACAGTGGCCCTGCTCCTTGCAGCTCTGCACGTGATGTTGTCGTCCTCTCCTTGGTCATCATGCGTTTCTCCCCATCCAGACTGTCTGCCCGTCATAACGAGAAGCTTCCAGTACACATCTTTATTTCTGTAGTTACTACCATGGATTAATGAAATACAGAGTTGTTATAACTCCAGGTTGTTAATTCACTAAGGCAGTTAGAATATGAATACTTATCTAAGTCATATTTAAATGTGCTACAAGGTCAGGCACAGTGGCTCTAACCTGTAATCTCAGCACTTTGGGAGGCCGAGGCAAGAGGATTGCTTGAGCCCAGGGGTTTGAGACCAGCCTGGGTAACTTGGTGAGACCTCGTCACTACAAAAAAATTAAAAATTACCCAGGTGTGGTGGCGCATGCCTGTAGTCTCAGCTACTCGGGAGGCTAAGGCAGGAGGATCACCTGAGCCCAGAAGGTTGAGGCTGTGATGATCTATAATTGTCCCACCGCCCTCCAACCTGGGTGATAGAGTGAGGCCCAGACTCAAAAAATAACAAATAAAAAAGTATTACAAATAAAATGTAACACTACCTAGGTGGGGTGGGATAGTGCTCAGGTTACGTTTTTCCTCCCCTCCTGTCCCCCTGGGAGACCGTAGAAACCAAAGTTTGCTTCCACGTATGGGCACCCCTTATTCTGTGCTGCCAGAGTGGGTGCAGTTGCTCTGAAGTTTTAGGACACGTGAGTGGATCACAGTCTCTTTGAATGGAGCGGGCCTATCTATTAAGCACCTGAGAAGGCAGCCCATGGAAGCCAAGGCTCTTTGGCCCTGAAAGTCTCACCCTGCCTGGCGCCGTAGCCACACTTGACAGACTGGCCCCCAGGCCCGTTCCTTGTGGGCTCACTGCAGGTCTCCTGGGTGCCGCACACAGAGCTAGGGCTCAGGTGCTGTAGCAAACAAGCCTGCAGTCCGTGTGAGGAGGCGGAGTGGGTTTGCGCTCACAGGCCCTCCCAAGAAGGGACAGGGCCATGGCACACAAGGTGCAGGAGGTCTAGTGTCGGGGCCAGGGTTCAGGTGAGGCTGTGGTGGGGAAGAGAATGGACTTTGGAGCTTGTCGTGAGGCAGGATTCCCCAAGACGCCACAACGGGTTGGAAGCGGGGAGCAGGTGTGCTGGCGTCAAGGTGACCCAAGTTGTATGGCTGGAGACAGCGCTTATGCCGGTGGGATGCTGGGCCTAGGTCACTTCTAGCTTCCAAGACCTGTGAAGCTCTGGTCAAGTCCAGGTTGTTCTTTCTCTTTGGGCTCTGATTCTCCCATGAGCCATCAGCACCTCAGCTTTGAGGTTGTCCTTGACAGCAGTGGCCAGGCATCCAGCTGGAGTTCCTGCGTCCATGACTGTCACAGGCGAGGCACAGGAAGGGCTGCTGGAGGGAGGGGCTTGGGGCACGAGCAAAGCGCATGTGCTGGTTGCCCACGTGACTCTGGGCTCTTCCCTCCTCGGCGTGGAGGCTGTTGGTCTCCCGGTGGTCTGCTTCATGAGAAAGGGCAAGGCCAGGAGGGGCCCGGGTCCTCCACGGTGGCCACAAGCCTACACATTGCGCTCTCTGAACTGGCCGGGTGGTCACTGGCTCCTTTGCTCATGCCAGTGCCTCTCGAGGCCACGTGTGACCAGACAGCATCGGGGGCTCGGGAACCATGGTCCTTCACCTAGAGACCCGTGTCTGGCCCGCAGCCTGCATGAGGAGTCTGGGGTGAGGGCAGGGAGGTGAGTTGGGAAGGAGCTTTCTCTGTTGCTCCTGCCAGAGGCTGCGCGCAGCTCTGCAGCCTAGTACTCTGTTGACAGAGATTCGGCTCTGGCATCACCCGAGCCAGGTGCCAGCTGAGTCAAGGCCTGGGAAATAGACCCTTTGGTCCCTAGGATGGCCTGGAAGTGGTCAGTGGACACTCCTGACCCCACTCCCTGTGGGAGGGTTTTGAGGCGTCTCAGTCCCCTCTGACTCCAGACCAGGCTGCAATGGCCATTGTCACACAGAAGCGACCGTTTTCCTTTGGTGGGCCCTGGAAAGGGCATTGCTGATCCAGGGAGGACCACTCCGGACCCTGGTGGCCTTGCTGACTGTTACCAGATCCAGATCCAGCCTTCTGCTTCCGCAGTCCTGCTCGTTCTCGCCATCAATCCCGACCGAGATGTCCGCTCGTCTCTCTTTCTCCTGGTCCTTGCCCATTCACTCCCTTCCTGGAGCTTGTCGGCCCGCTTCGGCTCCTTCTCTGCCTTTCTCAGGGCCTCTGTAGCGGGGCCTGGAGCCGCTCCACCGAGCGGTCCCTGGACTGTGTGTTCATGTGAATGAAGGTGGCGCCTTGAGTTGCAGTTCTGGACTCTTCCCGGAGCTAGTGTGAGCATGCATTGTGGGCCGCACAAACCATGAGGAGCCACCGGTGTCCCCTGAAGTGGTGACAGCCTGGCTGTGTCACCTCCCAAACTGTCCCTTCATGCCTTCCTACAATGTACCGCACACTGGGAGCCTCTGAGAAGTGGCATTTCCCTTGGGGGGTTCCCCGGCATGGCCAATCAGCAGGATGCCCCCGAGGCTGTGTCTTTACAAGAATGATTTAGCAGCAGATGACCCGCACTTTGTCGTTGGTACTTTTCAGTGCTGTGCAAGGCATCTTGAGTTACTCTGGTAGCTTTTCCAGAAAGACCAACTGACTTCACCACGTGTCTCCAGTTACAGTGCAGGCAGAGTCTGAGGCCAAGTAAGCGCTGATGACTGAAGCAGCGGGGAGGGACAGGGCCTGGGAACGGACCCTGCCGCCAGCACGCGGCCTGTGAGACCAGAGTCGGGGGGACCCTCCTCTCCCCGAAGGCCCCCGCTCAAGAAGGACTTGCAGCCCCACTCTGAGCCACGGGGCCTCGTCTGGAGTTCTCCCCGTTTCTTCCTCCTGCTCCCAGCTTTGGCCAGCCCTGGGTGCCACTCAGAGGAAGCGTTCAGCCCACCTCCGGGCGCCAGGTTTGCCTGCACTGATTGCTTTCTTGTCCAGGAAGTCTTCTGGGAGTGCTTCCAGGCAGTCTGCTAAGGCGAGATGGCAAGTGCAGAGGAAAGGACTTGGAATTGGGGGTCGGGATTTGAACCCCTGCTCCATGAGTGCGAGCTGTGCGACCCCAGGCCCATAAACCCGCCTCGCTCATCTGCCTCCTCCCGAGTAAAGTGAAGTGGCCTTGACTCCGCCCAGGGCCTGACTTGCTCGTGTGCCAGGCACGGTGCCAGGGCACATACCAGGGCACTCAGGAAGCACAGCTTCAGGCCCTGATGGTGCCCCGCTGAGTGAGAATGTGGCCCTGGTACCCAGGCCCTGGCCCCAGGCCCTATTGCTCTCCTGGGGAGGACGGCGGCCTGCACGGCGGGCGGCCCCTGAAGGCTGCAGGCAGCCTCTTGGTGTCGGGAACAGCAGTCATGGCCCGTGTTTTCCGCAGGTCACCTGGATGTCAGCATGGCAGCCACAAACCTGGAGAACCAGTTGCATAGCGCACAGAAGAACCTCCTGTTCCTCCAGCGGGAGCATGCCAACACACTCAAGGGGCTGCACGCCGAGATCAGGCGGCTGCAGCAGCACTGCACAGGTACCTGGGAACGCCGGTGGCGGGGGCACCAGAGCCCGGCAAGACAGCGGCCAGACTTGCCTCGTCACTCCTTGCCGTTGCAGGGTCCCTCTGACAGCTCGCCTCATCCTCTCTGAGCATAAAGCCGTGGAGCCTTCTGGCCCACTGAGGACTCTAAAGATGGCGGCACAGTGGTTAGAACTCGCAGTGCATCTCGGAACCGCCAGCCGAGACGCTGCCTGTGGGTGCACAGAGCAAGCCGCTCCTGCGCTTAGACTGTTGGGCTGTGTCACGGGGCATGGGGCAGGAGGCCCCGCCTGTGAGCACCACAGGCACCTTTGTCCCACTATTTTCACGCTGCCTCTTATATTGCAAGTCCATACATCAGGGCAGGACTTTGATGCTAGCGGGGGAACTGGCTCTGCGTTTTCAGAGCTGGTGGAGGTTTTGAAATGTACCATGACAAAATTAACATGTGCAATTTCCTTTTTAGATTTAACATATGAGCTGACACTCAAAAGTTCTGAACAGACAGGTAAGAACACCACCCCCCGCCAAAGTCCATGACAGCACTGCCTTCTCTTGTGGGACGTGTTGTGCTGTGTGTCTGTGCTAGTTACATCCTTAGGGGAAAACACACTTGCTGTGGAGAGTTGCATATGCGGCCAGAGCTGTCTAAGGAGACATGAGAAGGATGTGGGGACCCCTCAGTGTTGCAAGTGATTGTCAGTGGCAGGAATGGGGGGGTGAGTTTCTTTTCTTTTGATTGACACATATGTTTGGAACGTCTGTTATGTGCTTTTCTGGAAGGTTTCCACAATGAATATGTGCTCCTTGTGTAATCGGGACATAAAAATAGATGTGATTTAAACTCTGAAAGAGGAGGGGGTGCAGCGCAGGACGGCTCCTCCCCGGTGTCCCCATGCTTAGCAGGGGCCCGGCACAGAGCAGAGGCCCTCTAGATGCTGGCTGGGTGAATGATCCCATTACTAGACAGCCCCCAGAGGATCAGTGACCATCCTTCTCAGGACTGCTGTCCCAGAAAGCCTTGCCCCAAGCAGAATCCCCCAGGAACCCCAAAGGCATCAGCCCATTGGCAGCCGGGGCCGAAGACGCAGGAGCCGGGGCCTCCCCAGGGCCGTGTGCCTGCCTGGAGCAGGGTGGGGATCCATAATGTGCAGAGTCTGTGTGGGAGTCCAGACGCCTTTTTCTTTTTCTTTTTCTTTTTTTTTTTTTGAGTTGGAGTCTCACTCTGTCGCCCAGACTGGAGTGCAGTGGCCGCTCCCGGCCACCGCAGCCTCGACCTGCTGGGCTCCGGCGATCCTTCCGCCTCAGCCTTCCAAGTAGCCGGAATTACAGGCATGCGCCACCACACCTGGCTGATTTTTTTATTTATTGTAGAGATGAGGTCTCACTGCCCAGGCGGGTCTCGAACCTGCAGGCTCAGGCAATCCACTCGCCTCAGCCTCCCACAGGCGCGGGATTACAGGCTGAGCCACCGAGCCCAGCTGAGACGCCTTTTTCTAATAGACTTCACACCGGCAGTTATTATTCATGCGCGTGTCCCGCTCCTTGTGAAAGACACAGGCCCTTCCACCAGGTCTCAGCATACTCCTGAGTGCTGACCTTCCATTAGGGAGCGCAGACAGCCTTTTGTCTGCGGGTGGTAGGGACAGCGCCACCAGGCTTCTGAGAGACAAGGGCCTACCCTCAGGAGTTCCCTAGAGAGGATGGATACCCAGAAGCTCCCTGGGGCCAGGAGCCGGGCCATGGCAACTCAGGAGGACAGACTATTCCCCCGAAGCCAGGGGATCCCACCTCTGCCATCACAGCCGTCTTCAGAAAGGAGCTGTCCATGTGGAAACAGGGTCATCCGTGCTCCCTGTCCCCTCCTGGCCCAGCTCTGCCCTGTGGCCTCTCCATCAAGGTTCCAACCCCAGACCTCCAGACACCCCCTACCCCCCGCTCCGCGCCGTGTAGCCCTCCCACCAGCAGCAGGGTAGAGCCTCTGTGAGGGCTGGCCTCAGTGGAGACAGTTTGAAAAGCCTCTCAGGTGGTTCTGGTAGGGTGTTTCCCCCAGGGGTGGAAATCATTGCCTTACGTTAGCACACCCAAAATGTGCCAGATCTAAGAAGCTCCAGGACACAGGTCAAAAGTGCAGATGCCAGTTCCCTGCCAGGGGCTGAGTCCAGAGGCAGGGGGACCTGGGCGTGTGTTTCAGCGTGCTATGGGGACCCCGTACTCGACCAGCTGGGAGACCCTGCTCTTGGAGATGAAGAGCAGCCGTGCCATCAGCTCAGTGAACACTCAGCTTTCATGGGGAAAGGCGGAAGCTTCTGGAAAGGGTTGTGGAGGAGGAGGTGGAATAGAGCTTCCTATACAGGAGGAAACTCACAACGTAGGAGGTGCTGACCCACAGGAAGGCCTGTTGCCAGAGAGCAGCGCTCCAGAGCCCGGGACAGAGGGCAGTGGCACCAGCTCCTACCCCGTGGTACCCACCGTGGCAGGGCCAGCAAATACTGGTCCAAGGCCAAGGCTGTGCCCTGGGAGGAAGCAGCACAGAGGAACTGTGCTCGGGGAAGGACGGTGCGGGGTGCCCAGGACAGACTCTCCTGGGACGGCATGGCTGAAAAGGGCCACCCTGCCCATGATTCCTGGATTTAGGGCTCTGCTCTGACTCAGAGGAGCTGTGTAGCCTTGGGCAAGTTCTTTGATGTCTCTGAACCTGTGTCCCTGTCTGACAGGTGTGCCACAAACGCTTGTCCCCGGCCTGACCACCAGGCCTTCTGCCTTTGTGGCCTGCCTCCTTTAGCTGCCTTTTCAGGACGTGAGCAAGGCCTGGGGAGAGTCTTGTTCTCAAGTGTTCCACACGGCCATCAGCCCTTGGCAGCACTGCCTGGGAAGAAACCAGGGATGCTGGCATCTGGCTGGGGATGAGGTGGAAGACCTGAGGTCCCAGACCTTCCCCAAAGGAGGCCATGCCCACCACCCACGTGCGTGTGGGCTCAGAGTGAGGGCCCCATGCCAGAGGCGGCTCTGGAGTCCCGTATCTGTATCTGCAGCGCCCTTTACCACGCAGCTGCCTTTCAGAATCCATTTTCTTTCTGGCAGGAAAAAAACCCTCATAAAGATAGTATTGCACTCATCCTTTCCAGAGAGTTGCTGACATCACACATGCACATACACACACGGACACACATGTTTTAAAGCTACCAATGGACTCCAACTCACGATGGCTCAGCTCACTGTTTCTGACCATATGGAACAAGATGCATTCAGGACGCTCCCGACTATGTGGGGCTGCATCCAAATAGGCCCGTGTACTTTGAAATGACCCCAAACACACTTTCCTTTGAGGATATTTTCACCCTACAACGGATGTATCAAGGTTCCAACCCCAGACCTCCAGACACCCGTCCCCCCAAGAAGTCCGTCGTAAGCGGAGGAGCACCTGCACGTGAACACCCTGGTGAGCTTGTGACAGCTAGGGCCAAGCACAGGACAGTCTGGTCAGCTGTAGGGCCGTGAGAGGGTGAGTCTGCCCGATGAACACCATACAGAAGCTGCTGCTAGGGCAGGTGGGGAATTGCCGGGAGAGGCCGACAGAGGCTCTGGGAAGGCTGCAGGGCTCAGGAAAGAACAGGCGCCCAGCAGCGGTCAACACCGGGTGGGCCCATGTATGCTGGGGTTGTACAGGGAGGTTGGACACAAGGCCCAGCGTCAGGTCAAGGTTAGAGGTTACAATGAAAGTAGGACAACAGGCGGCTTCTCTGGGGTAATGGCAAAACTTCAGGTATATGTGGGAGCAGATAACACTGGGGACAGACCAAGGACCCGGAAGGCCGTCTGGCAGTGTGGATTTTATTAGGCAGTGAGGAGTCATTTTGAATAGGGGAGTAGACAGACTATTTACGGGGGTGACCAAGCTTCCTAAATACAGAACGGACTGAAAGACCAGAGAGAGGCTGGACCAAGGCCCAGCTGCAGGAGCAGGAAGGGAGCAGGGAGAGGATGGGTCTGCTGTGCCAGAGGTCAAAAGGGCGTGAGCGCAGTCGGGAAGGGGGAGGGCGAGAGATTCTGGCCAGCTGGGAAGACAAAGATGCAGGAGGAAGAGCAGCTGTTTAGGCTGGAGGGTCTGACGGATTCGCCTTGGAGTGCTGGTGCCCAGGAGATGCTGGCGCAGGGGCTCTCAGCTGAGTCTGGAGCCAAACAGTGCTTGAGTGTAGCAAGCGCTTAATAAGTGCCATTGGTCAGGCGTGGTGGCTCACACCTGTAATCCCAGCACTTTGGGAGGTAGGAGTGAGAGAAATGCCTGAGCAACGTGGCGAAACGTCGTGTGCCTGGGCAACAGAGTGAGACTCCGACTCACATAAAGTAAAACAAGTGCCACCGAACAAGCAGGCAGACTTGCTGCCAGTGCGGTCCTAGGTGCCTGGTGGGGTTTCGTACTCTGAAACGGCCTGTTTCCACGTCAGCCCTTTAAGCTTTAGAGACATGGTGCTGTCCAGAGGACGAGGGCCAGGCAGGGCCTCGCCGGCTCGCCGGCGGCTCCCCACCTGGCTCCTCGGCTTCCCTTCCCTTGCAGCAGACGGGGCCTCCAGAAGCAGCGAGCTGCAGAGAAGGTGTGAGGGCCTGGAGGCCCAGCTGAAGGCCAAGGGGGAGGAGAACGCCGAGCTGCTGCAGGAGCTGGAGCAGAAGAACGCCATGATCGCGGTGCTGGAGAACACCATCCGCGAGCGGGAGAGGCGGTACCTGGAGGAGCTGAAGGCCAAGAGCCACAAGCTGAGCCTGCTGTCCGGCGAGCTGGAGCAGCGCGCCGGCACCGTGGCCTACCTGACCGCGCAGCTGCACGCCGCCAGGAAGAAGCTGCTGGGCGCCGGCGGGGCCGCGGACGCCAGCC